CGATCATTTTCTTTGAATTATAGATTGCTGCTGGTCCTAATACTGGGCAAATATGCCTACCAAAACTGGAACCCCACAGGAAATGGTATGCCACTGATGCCAATGTGTAATATTATCTAGAACCCCTTTTTTGTTGTCGTTGTTGGTTGGGTTTTGGGGGGGGTTGTTCTTTTTTTTATATTTTAAATCTGTGAGGCTTGACCCACTTGGGAATACCAAGGACTGTGGATCAGTGAACTGGCTGCTTATGAACAGCGATGTATAGAACCAGACTGCTAAACTAAAATGGAAGTGAAGATGGAGTAGGCAGAAATCAGCTTTTGCATTGGATAATTCATGCAAATTGGCTCTTCAGGAACCAACCTAAACCAGTCAGTCTCATTTGCATCCCAAACAGGGGCTAACCTAGAACTATATTCAGAACTTTATAAGTATTGCCACTAAATAGAGATTTTTCATCATTGGGTACACAAAGTGATAAGCCTGTGTCCTCCCATTTACCACTATGCTCTGCATGACTGAATTTTTTCTTTTGTTTTAAATGTAACTCCACCTAAACTGCGTTGCAGCAAAAATGTCAAGGTAACCAAAGCAGTAGGCAAGATCATCTTCTTGCTAAACACAAGCAAGAAAAGAAATCCTGGAAGGTGATTTCAGTATGTTCTTAAATATTTTCAAGTCCCAGTGCAGTGAATGAGACTTGAGAATATCTCAACTTGAAACGAGTGGAAGGTAGAAACAGAAGATGAAAATGTTGCTCTAAGATTATTTAGTAGCTGTTGTGCATGTAGTCTCAAATCTCCCATCTGAAAATAACCCTTTTCTTAAGAATTCAGACTGGGCTCGCGTGTTGAATACAGGAGGGAATGGGAGCTAATCTTTCCCTCTTTCCTTTGTTTATCTTTTTTCACCAACAGTTTGAGCAAAGAAAAAGCCAATGACCAATGCCTTCTCATACCAACAGGTCTGAAACCAAACTGACGTGAGATGGGGGATTTGAAAATACTACATACAACCAGAGCTTTTTTGCTGCTGCAGGGATCCTAACAAGGTAGTGTCTGTAGAAACGTAATGATTTGCAAGTAATAATCCGACTGTCATTTCAACCTGAAATTTTGCTTCCCTAACACATCTGCATAATTTTTACCAGTTCTGAAATCTATTGTTATTATTAAGACAATGGCCTGTTAGAAAGACAATGTTGTTCTGTAACTGCTGTAATTATACTAATAGACTCTATAAACTTTCATAAAAGTTTCATACACTAAAGTTTTATTTATTTTTTAATTTCATTTTATTCATTCATTCACTTTAGTTTTATGCTAAAAAATGGAGGAAACAGTAACAATCAGTTGATGTAAAGTCGTAAGGTACACTGTAATTCCAGCCACAGCAGATTTAAATGAACATAAATTAATTACTTAAAGAAAAGTTATTCACATAAAATCAGACCTTGTTTTTCTTGTTTCATGAATAATAACGGAAGTTCTGTAAGCAAGTGGCCTTTCTTCATAAAGGGCTTATAAAATACTTGTTCATGTTAGCACCTTTTGATAGAAGGACCCGTGAATTTCAAAAATAGCTTGCTCTTAAGAATTTTGTGTTCTCTTAAAAATTAAGCTTTTGAAAATACTAGTGCTTCTTTTAATAATGACAGTGAGTGATAACTACCTTAGATGCAGGTTTAATTTCTTTTAAAAAGTACTCAGATCGTAATGTCTTCTAAACAAAAGTCATGTACAGAATAGATGAAAGTTATTCTATGAATGTGAATTATCGTTCCTTTATGTTGAAAAAAATCAAGAAAAAAATGTTAATGGGTAGGTTGTCTTAAATCCTTTTTACACATGATGAGGAAATACCTAAGACTTTCCCTAGTAAAATCAGTCAAACAGCAAGATCATGGTAATGGACACACAGATAAAGTCTGAATGTACTTATACGTTGGCTAGTTGAGGTCTCATGTAATGATTAAAAGAAAAATTGTATCTGGATAGAAAGTTGCAGCCAGGAACACTCAACTATTCCAACAGACTCTATTTCATTACATTTTATTTGATATCTCTGGTAGTGCTGCCTGTATCCTATGACATGGAGCATTGAAATGAAAAAGCAATTTGTCATTACACAATTTAAAGCTTTTTCACTCGGTATTTCCCCCTGATGCCCTGATAATGTTGGAAATGTGATTCCTCCATTTTGTCACAAATTAGGCAGGTTATGTCTGAGTTGAGCTTTGAGGAAGTTAGGTCCTGATCGCTGTGATTCAGTAGAAGTCTTCTTTATGAATCAACATTGACTCAGTGGTCCGGTATAACTTTGGGGAGTAGTTGTGCAAGTAAAAATCCATGAAATGTGATCAATCCATTGTTTTACTCTGGCAGTTCCTAGCACAAGAGATACTGTAAACCAGTTATACTTCAGTAGGAAGGACTGAAGAAGCCTTTTATTGTAGAACGGACTTGAAGAGAGCTAAGGAACATCACTGATGCAAAAATGACAAAGCAGGATCGAGATGGTGGGAGATGCATTACTGCCACTCCATTACATATTGCACTTCCATTTCTCCAGTCTACATCTATCCTTCTCGCTCATCCATTACCCGCATCCTGGCTAGGGAGAAGATAATGAAGAAGGGTGTCCCTTATTTTTTTCTTTCCTCTCCTTACTTCTTAGCCACCAGTGAAACATTTTTCATTTTTCCTCTCTTGTCACTCCTTTTTGCCTGTGCAGATGGATTTCGGCAGTCCTGGGTGAATCACGTAAAAGTAAGCGTTTTGATGAGAAGAACTAGAAACTTCTGGCCTGTTGGGAAATCTGGAGTGCTACATACTACGTTTCCACTTTCAGATCAAGTCTCCCTCTCCCTCTCCTTGTAGTGACTTACCTTTATAGCTAACCTTGTTAATGGAAAAATAACATCTAATAAGGAAAGCAAATTTAACAGTTAGTCCTCAAGAGAACTTAACTGAGTATGAAGTTAAAGCCAAATAAAATGCATGCACTCGGAAGACTAAAGTTACTGTATCTTCTATGATCAATTCTTAAAATATTTGCTGCATATTCACAGCACAGACTGCCTTTTATTGCCTATTCCTGGAATAATGCTGTATTAAGATCTATAACTATATAATTGAATCATGAGCTTTATTTGGTAAAATGTAGTACCTATTTTATAAATTGCCATCACAGTTTTTGGTTGTTTTTTTCCCCCCATCAGTTCAGTTTAAAATGGCTGGTATTCAAAAAGGAGAGGGGAAATTAAAAACAAACTCATGAAGTGTTTCCTTGAAGATTCCCCACAAAATTTATAAATAACCAGAGAAAATACTAGGTCCTAATTTTTATTCAGTTACAGGTTATTTCTGTTCAAACTTACTGTTCATTGTCCCAGACCTAAGCAGATGAAAGAGGGTTTTTCTCTTAAAATTTTAAGCCTCTTGGTACTTAACAGTCTTTCAAGATTGCTCTAATGAGTCTTTTGTCCATAAGCGGAAAATCAAGCCTTTGTGAGCTTCATTTCTACTGTAATCCCATCACTGTTCAATTTTCTGTTCCATCTGATAACTTCCTTTCAGAACAGGCTATTTTATGTACAATGAGTTAAACCACTTCAGAAATTATTTTTTCAGTCACTAACAAGACTAGTTTGTTATTACTAAAAAAAATCATATTGTGAATGTCTTAGAATATTTCAACTTAGCATTATTCTTTGCCCCAGTGTGCCAGTTTGTATACTTTCAATATCCCCTGGTGAGCTGGTTGAAATCTAGCCAAAACATTCGTTAGTGGCACTATTATCTATTAAGCTTGTAAATAAAACATACACATCAACGGGACACATGAGGAAAACAGATGATATGATTAAAGACAGTATATGACAGGATTACAGATTACAGTCTGTCAGCACCGATTTGTTAAATTGCTGCTAAAGCCTATTTCCATGTAAAGCACATTAAACCTGAAAAACGTCCAAGCAGCAGCCAGAATGATCAAATTCCTGCTCAGGAAGACTCCTAGTCATTTCAGCAAATGTCTGTCTGGTTTTTTTGTGGTTTTTTTTTTTTTTAAATCCTTTTGAAATCAACAGGGTTTCTGTCTCACTACAAACTGTAGAGTAAGGGCCACAGAACAGGTAGTTTCCCCGAATTAAAAACCTTGCTGGCTTTTTGCCATTCTGTCCCTGCTTTGGTAGCAATAATACGTCTTGATGCATTAAACTCCGGTGCCTTATGTGGGAGGCTGTAATGACCCAGCACTCCCCAGGGAAGGGGCAAATGCCTTTCACAGCTCTCTGGGGGTAGCTGGATATGAACACCTCGAGCCCTGGCGTCCTCAGCATCTTTTCCATATACTTTGAACACGAGTGGCACCTAGCCCTGGTGAGTTCGTTAAGGTTCTCCTATGGCCAGGCAGTGATACACATCTGTTCTTTGTGTTCTCTCCCGTTTTCAAAAAGCCCATAAATTCATTAGAAGAATCCACGTCCGTGTTTTTAACTTAGGTCCGTAGTTCCATTCTTTACCTTCAGCCTACTGTTTTCACTTAGCAAAAATGTGCCAGTTAGGTTAGATCTTACCCAGGAAAGAAGTTGTTGGTTTTTTTTTAACACGTGGGGCATGAGCATTTGGGTGTTCTGAAATTCCACCACCATAAAGCAATAATGATTTTTATGTGTCTAAAATTCAAATGCAACTTTTTAAGCTGATGTTTTGCAGAGATTAAAAAAAAGCCCACTGGCATCTGTTGAGAGATGCTGTTTGGAGAAGTTACTGTGTTTATTTGCTTTTGCTTAAGAACACAGCAATCATATAGGCTTGATAACTAAGTGATTCTTTCAATACAAATTTAATCACGATTAGTAAGTGGAAAAAGGGCAACAGTCTCTCCCTTGTGCTAACAAGCTACTCGTATTTAGCATTAGAAAAATAGTCTAAAGGCAGGTAGATAGAACTGTGCTGGCAGTAAGTCAAGCAGCTTCAAATGACTTCCTGTTACAGGCTTGAGAAGCTCTCCCCAAAAGATTATGCTTACGATCAGTGTGTGGACGGGTCCCTGATCAGAGACTCGCAGTACGCATCTGTCAGCACAGTTCAGAAGAGAGCAAAGATGACTGGAAATTGCCAGAAGCAACAGAAGGGGAGACAGGTGTCCCTGCTGTCTGCTCCTAAATCGTGCAAATCTGATGCAAGTCTAGGTCTGGTAAGTGAAATGTGCCAAGGCAGGGAAGAGAGCAAAAGTCTTAAAACGCAAGAAATTTAATAACTCATCCTGAGAACGGATCTGGGGAAGGCACTCCCTCTGCAAACCAGGGAATTATACTGTCAGTGTCTGTAAAATCAGTGAAATTCAGAGGTCAGATTACCCATCCCTCTCTCCTTAAAAAAGCTTACTTGTGGAGTTCTCTGTTGCCCTCTAAAGGGCGTTACTCCAAAGGATCAGAAATAGCCGTAGGCTGTTCACCTTTTGAGAGTGTGGTCACCATGAAAAGTCGTAACAATGTAATGGTTTCTGAGAAAAGTTTGGTGGACTCAGTTCCTCTTCTGGTGAAGAGGTGTTCTGACAAGAAAAACAAACACAGCTGGTATTAGCTGGCAGCCGCAGTAACCCTCACTGCAAACCTCATTAAAGAGGCTGATTCTGTAAATTACAGAGTTAGTGACCCCCTCACTTCTAGAGATGATGTCCAGGTAAGCTGGAGACACGCTGCTAGAGCTGTTTTCACTACAGCTGCCCAAAGCGGTTCTGGGGACGGTCACCACAGTTCAGCCACAGAAACTGTCCATGTGGCACCTTTCTGAACTGTAACATACCATCGAGGGAAGGACAGGGGGGTTTATTAGTAAGCACGTGAGAGATGAAAAATATCAATGTTGCTGAATTTCATGAGGTAGTTCTCACCTCTTCTAAGCAGTGGCTTATGCTGATCTGAATAGTCGGTTACATCCAAAAATCTACAGCCTAAGGACTTCCAGATAAGCCCATAAAACTTTTCAAAATACGTTTTTAGAACGATGTAAAGTCTTCATACTTGTAATTACAGTGCCACGTGAGTCAAAATTCACTTGCATACAGCATTAATGTCACAATTTCTCTTGACACAAAAAAAATAAATTATTGTATTATCATGTTAGAATTTCTTTATTTCGATGAGGAACCTTGGTTAATAAACAAAAGACAGAATTTGGCTTCAAACTTTTAAATGTATCAGAAACTAGTGGGCAGATTTTTAAAAGCCTTCTCACCTAAGATGGACAGTATTGCCAGAGTACGCAATCCCAGACACTCCTGTGTGATTTCTGGGGTCAGACTTTCAAATAAGCCACTTAGGTTTTCAAAACCTAACTCCTTTTACATGAAATAATTACAAACAAAAGATAAGAAAATATAAACAAATAAAGGGAAATAAAGTCAGACGACAGCTGGGCATGTTAGGTCAAATCCTATGGCCTGTGTAAGTAGTTGTGACTAAACTGGATCACTCACTCAAAAGCAACTGTAGCTCACATCTTTTTTGCCAGATATAACAGGCTTTTTAGTCACGATGCAGTATATGCAATAAAGAAAGGAGCGGCTCCCATAAGAGAGCAAGGCCACCGCAGCAGGTGATCAGCTGTGGACAGAAAGGAACACACAGGTATCTGTTTTCCATGTGTTCACCATTAAATTGCTATCAGTTCCTGTGCAGTGAGAGCACATGGGTTAAGTCACATATGAAATGAACCAGCCTGTATCGGTGTTTATATGCGACAGGCTTTTGCAAGAAGAGGGTTTGAAACTGTTCAGCCGCAACTTTTACGGTTCTCTCTCTTTTTTTGTTGCAATTCCACGGAGTATTACAGTCAGTACTGAAGAAACTCACCCTACCATTGATAGTGGTCCTCCTGGTTTTAAAAGCAGCCTTCACTGCCCTGTGAAGTGCTTGGCTACGCTGTACCTTACAAGTATTTAGGACCTTATCCTTCAAACACTTGGTATACAATATGCAATCGTTCAGAAGAGTAAAATTATGTGTGTATATAATACACACGTTCTTGAAGACAAAGGCACTATGAAAGAAAGATTACATGTCATACGCCTTGTTCCTCTGCAAGTTGAACTTTTTCAGTAAGAGAAAAACTGTTGTTGACTCCCACACCATGAAGATGTGAACAAAGATATGACCGATGTCGTTAATGCTATGGTAGTGTTGCATCTATTTTCCCGTGTCTATTGGGGGTATCTAAGCAATTTGCTGCCCTACAAAAAGACCACCCAGAGCATCCACCCTTTGACATAACCTTGCAAAGCTTGAGTAAGGCTTTTTAACTAGAAGAACCTGTAAGAGCAACTTTCGACATATCTGAATCTAAGCAGGAATCAACAACTTCTCAATCTGTATCTATCTGCTTGCTTTTTGTTCATATATTTACTTCTTTGGCTCAGCTACGATGAGAAACACAGGTGCAATTTTCCATTAAGCTAATGGAAACTATGAAAATACTTTCCAATGAATTATTTTGGCTACTAAAATATAATATATCACATTCTAATTAAGTCTATGGTAAAAGATGATGATTTCATAATGGCAAGGCTGCGATTTCACTGTAGGGCCCCTTTAGCAGAGCAGAAGCTGGAAACTTTTTGTTGAATATCCTGTCTGTTTTAAAAGAAGGGAGAAGCTAGCGGATACAAGAAATGTTTCACTTCTTTCTTTATATGTCAGTCTTATTTAGGGGAGAAATCCTACCAGAGTGGTCTTGAGTCTGTTCTCTAAGGAACAGAACAGAGAGCGAGCGTGCAATGATACTGAAGTCAGCAGAGTTGCATCGATGTAACCCTAAGCTGAGGTCACAAAGATGAAGAAGGGTTTGTTCTTACTAGTAAGGCTCGGGATTGAGCCTTCCTTATACCCCATGCCCTGGTTTCTGCAACTGTTTTGCAATGTTTAGTGTGCTTACACACGTTTTATCTAAAGGAAATGTAAACTTCTGTTACATTCATATACTGGGGTGCTTACATGATGCATTTGCAAGAGCTTAATGCTCAGTCTGATCATCTCCTGTGTTCCTCACATAGAGCATGCGAGATGCGAAGAGGAACGGGGGTAATAAGGCTGCTCCCACATACAAGATTTTACAAGAGCAGAACCATAACAGGCACTGGATCTGCTCCAGCAGAAGGACCTGTACGAATACACGCAGAGTACACACGGGATTGTGCTTTTCCCAATGAGAGAAGGGAATTGCATTCTTTTCTTTTAGGGTTTTATTTTCCTTTGTTTCCACAGTCCTAAGGCCCGATGTGATTTCCCGAGCCTTTGAACTTCCCTGTGGGGGTAAGGAGTCCCGTGGCTCCTAAAAGGCGGGGGGGGGGGGGGGG